TTCAAAATTTATGTATGTGAGGTATTAATTGTGAAGATTAAAATGGATTGATTTATCATTAACTTATCAAAAGGTTATAAAGCAAAAATGACGGTAAATTGTAAAAAAATAAATCATGATTTTGTTTTCTGAACAACCCAGAATTAATTTTAACGTATGTGCTGAAAATATTCGATAACACTTTGTAATTTTTGTTTTTAAAATTTTGGTGAAAAGTAGTTATTTTGTACTTTAAATGCTTAACCAAATTTTAAAGATTCATGGAATAAGAAAAAAGAATGTGTCTCTAAGTCATCAAAGTTGCAATATTAATTGAAGCTACCTATCCAAATCTTTTTTATCTCTACTTACGTACACTATTACAGTATGTGCGTGAATGATGTATTATTGTCCAATTGAATTAAACTTTGTTTGAAGCGAACGAAGCAACATATAAGTGACGATGATAAGTACTGCTCCTAAAACATAAAATAATATAAAAAATTAAATATTTATATAGCTTTTTAAAAAACTTTCTAATATTGCTAAGGTAGTGCCTGCGTTAAGCAAAATGTTTAAGTAAAATTTCGCAACATTAAGATTTATGTTTCATCCGCTCCCTCTTGATGTTAATTTAGGATGGAAGTCAAGGAACAGGTAAGAAAGTTGCTGATGCAAGGCGTAGGAGGGGTTAAACTGAGAAAGCATAATTTTTTGCTAGTTATTTTCAAGGGCATTAAGTTTGTCTGATTAACTTTAATGTCAATCAATTAAATAAGTCAATCATATTTTCGTTCCATTACTCCTCACTTTCCAGCTTCGAATCAGAACAATCCGAGATAGAGGCAAAAACGTTCTTTAAAGCACACACCTGAGCATGAAATGGAACCACAATTTAGGGTCAGGGTTAGATACTTGTGATGAAGCTTCTATTTATTAAACCCCATATCATCAGAGGCTCATTTTTAACATGAAACTACACGATACGTCATGAGACCTGATGTAAGTCTAATGCTGTGTGTGAGAACAGGCATTAAGACAAAATATTGCAAGTCTGTTTTATCAGCAAGCAATCAATGTACTTGATGCCACTCTACATCAAGGATGAACCAAATATTAGCTAAGTTAGTCAGTCTCACAGGCAGAAAATCTTCATGATTCAAGAGCTCGAATTCACAAAAAACCAAAATCCAGAACTCGAAGTCGATAGGGTTCGAGTCGAGTCGACTCGACTCAAAACCTAGTCTACTTCAAGCTCTGCCAAAATCTGAAAAACTTAAAATCTTTGATGATAATCTTTCAAAAAATTAGACTTTTCTTAAGTTTTACTCTTCTTCACCTTATAAAGTGAGTGGACACACAATTAGAAATTTTTATATTTTCCAAATTTCTCCTTTATTTTTTCATAAAACTTATTAAAGTTTAATGATAGGCTTTAATAGGTTTTATTAGCCTATTATTAAACATTAATAAGTTTTATGAAAAAATAAGGGAGAAATTTTGAAAATATAAAAATTTCTAATTGTGTGTCCACTCACTTTATCAACACCCTCTGACCTATAAATCGCCTCCTATTCTAAATTTGCATTAATAAAGGTAGACTCAACATGAAACTTAATGCAATATTCTAAATTTTACAAAATCCTCAATGTAAGCCTTACATTTATCATTTCAATTTATCAAAATACTTAGCTTTGCATTTCATAAAGCGACTCTCTCAAGCATTTCTTCATAACCTTTATCTTCTATTGCAGAACGATTTGACAAGAATTTTCAAAATACGTCTTATGGCTTCAACGATCAAAGAAAAACTGAAAATGTAAATAAATTAAAAGTCAATGGTAACTGAGAATATTATAAAATTTTTTTGTTCATTTACATTATATGTTTGTTTCGTGAAAATATTCAATAATTAATCAAATACATAGTGTGATTTGCTCAAAACAAGAAAAAAATAATAATAACCAATTTAAAAATATAAGCTGAATGTAGGAATTTCTCTCGGAATCATCAATATTATGTTAAATTAACTTGATAAGTTATTATTATAAATCTCGTTTCGCTTTAATTCTTTCTATTCTATGTGAATAAGTGCAAGTATAAACTTAAAATAAAAATATTAAATCAAAAGAAATACCTTGAACAAAAAAATTAAATTAGAGAACAATGAATTATTTAAAGCCAAAAATCAAAAGTAATAAGAGAAAGGAAAAAATCTTTTAGCGTCGATCTCTGATCACATAAGATGTTATTTCAAGATACTGTTTTATTGAATGAAAACCAAAAATCAATCAATGAATAAAAAGGAGATTTACAACTTGACTCCATTAAAAAGACCAACAGACTCTTTTATTCTTTTAAACACTTAAATTTTCAGATGGATGTTTTACTTTAAAAATTATAATATGCTGCAAATTTTTAATTTGTGTAATATTTATAAGTTTCTTTTAAAGTTCCAGTTAACTAGTGGTTTTGGTTTTAGATATGACTTAATTTTACTGGATCTTGGTTTTAGATTACGGAAAAGACAAAAATTCTACTGAACCTTAGTTTTTACTTCCGAATATTCCTTGAATATGAATTTACTGTAACGACGACTTCAATATTGCAGTTAATTTTAATTTTAATAACTTTTCAATATTGAAAATTTAAGCATATGAAGAACAAAGCGAAGTTCGTAAGCTTAAATCCGATCTATTTAAGAGACTTACAGAAGTTGAGTGTACAACCACACATTGACAATTGATTAAAATGGTGGACCAGCAAATTATTAAAAGTTTGCAGTTTCTTCAAAATTTATGTATGTGAGGTATTAATTGTGAAGATTAAAATGGATTGATTTATCATTAACTTATCAAAAGGTTATAAAGCAAAAATGACGGTAAATTGTAAAAAAATAAATCATGATTTTGTTTTCTGAACAACCCAGAATTAATTTTAACGTATGTGCTGAAAATATTCGATAACACTTTGTAATTTTTGTTTTTAAAATTTTGGTGAAAAGTTGTTATTTTTTACTTTAAATGCTTAACCAAATTTTAAAGATTCATGGAATAAGAAAAAAGAATGTGTCTCTAAGTCATCAAAGTTGCAATATTAATTGAAGCTACCTATCCAAATCTTTTTTATCTCTACTTACGTACACTATTACAGTATGTGCGTGAATGATGTATTATTGTCCAATTGAATTAAACTTTGTTTGAAGCGAACGAAGCAACATATAAGTGACGATGATAAGTACTGCTCCTAAAACATAAAATAATATAAAAAATTAAATATTTATGTAGCTATTTAAAAAACTTTCTAATATTGCTAAAGTAGTGCCTGCGTTAAGCAAAATGTTTAAGTAAAATTTCGCAACATTAAGATTTATGTTTCATCCGCTCCCTCTTGATGTTAATTTAGGATGGAAGTCAAGGAACAGGTAAGAAAGTTGCTGATGCAAGGCGTAGGAGGGGTTAAACTGAGAAAGCATAATTTTTTGCTAGTTATTTTCAAGGACATTAAGTTTGTATGATTAACTTTAATGTCAATCAATTAAATGAGTCAATCATATTTTCGTTCCATTACTCCTCACTTTCCAGCTTCGAATCAGAACAATCCGAGATAGAGGCAAAAACGTTCTTTAAAGCACACACCTGAGCATGAAATGGAACCACAATTTAGGGTCAGGGTTAGATACTTGTGATAAAGCTTCTATTTATTAAACCCCATATCATCAGAGGCTCATTTTTAACATGAAACTACACGATACGTCATGAGACCTGATGTAAGTCTAATGCTGTGTGTGAGAACAGGCATTAAGACAAAATATTGCAAGTCTGTTTTAACAGCAAGCAATCAATGTACTTGATGCCACTCTACATCAAGGATGAACCAAATATTAGCTAAGTTAGTCAGTCTCACAGGCAGAAAATCATCATGATTCAAGAGCTCGAATTCACAAAAAACCAAAATCCAGAACTCGAAGTCGATAGGGTTCGAGTCGAGTCGACTCGACTCAAAACCTAGTCTACTTCAAGCTCTGCCAAAATCTGAAAAACTTAAAATCTTTGATGATAATCTTTCAAAAAATTAGACTTTTCTTAAGTTTTACTCTTCTTCACCTTATAAAGTGAGTGGACACACAATTAGAAATTTTTATATTTTCCAAATTTCTCCTTTATTTTTTCATAAAACTTATTAAAGTTTAATGATAGGCTTTAATAAGTTTTATTAGCCTATTATTAAACTTTAATAAGTTTTATGAAAAAATAAGGGAGAAATTTTGAAAATATAAAAATTTCTAATTGTGTGTCCACTCACTTTATCAACACCCTCTGACCTATAAATCACCTCCTATTCTAAATTTGCATTAATAAAGGTAGACTCAACATGAAACTTAATGCAATATTCTAAATTTTACAAAATCCTCAATGTAAGCCTTACATTTATCATTTCAATTTATCAAAATACTTAGCTTTGCATTTCATAAAGCGACTCTCTCAAGCATTTCTTCATAACCTTTATCTTCTATTGCAGAACGATTTGACAAGAATTTTCAAAATACGTCTTATGGCTTCAACGATCAAAGAAAAACTGAAAATGTAAATAAATTAAAAGTCAATGGTAACTGAGAATATTACAAAATTTTTTTGTTCATTTACATTTTTTGATGTGGCATGGTGAGAGTATTAGAATATGAAGAATATGAGAAGGAGTAATAACTAATAGTCTGAATAATGTGTCTGCAATAATAATATGTAATCTTTTGAGCTGGAGACACAATGATTGATTTCGTATAACCCTCCACTCATGAAAACGTCATTGAATACTTCCATGCAATAACTTCAACATCTTCATTCCAGCCCAAAAAATTTTGTCATCGATAGAAAAAGTTATTAACGGACGGAATATTTTTAAATTTTCAAACAAGTAAAATTTAACTGCAATCCTAAAGCGCATTTTGAAGTAAAAGTCATGACATCAAAAGTAGACAGCCACAGCCCAATCAATTCAGTAGAAAATATCTTGTGATTTTATTACAAAACCAGTAACATAAGGGATAAACATTAAAAGTGATCATGGATTTTTTAAAAGATATTGATAATAGAGACGAATTACTGACTGTAAATTAATTATACCTCAGTAAAACCAAACCTAAGTCATCTCAATAATCTGTTTTTTTAGATATTATATGCAGCAATAGAACGAATTTATAAAAAAGATTTGATACCGACAAAAAACATAAAAGTTTCTGTGGACGAGCTGGATTATGTAGCCAATATATTCATCCAGTATTGCTCTAATCAGCTCAACAAATCAGAAATGCTTGACTACTTTCCAATAAACCCAAATAAAAAGGATTTTGTATTTAAAGCCATAGAAGCTAGAAAATTGGATGTCTGTAAATACCTTATGAACGAACATAATTCACGAAATATTCCTTTGATGAAATCTTTTGACTGGAACATTCAATTTATCGTTGGAAACTCATCGTTGGCATCATATCGTGAACAACTAGCTACTTTAAATTTTGAGTGTCGAAAAGGAAGCAAGTTTGAGACAATCTCGATGGAAATGGATAAATCTTCTCTTGAATCAGCCATCAAAAGTCTTGAAAATTGCATCGGTGTTAATGAATAAACTTTGCTTCGATAATTTTATTATTATAACAATTTTAAAAATCCAAAAATTATAAAAATGACATTTTTTACCTAATCATAGACAAAATAACTTTTTATTGAAGTACGGCTGCATTTGCAGATATTGAAGGATTATTGATAGCTTCACCCAATTGATCCAGCACTTCCTTACGATAATCATCAAAACCTCCATCAACTTCATTTATTGTCTGATCCTCAATGACATACAGAGCACATTCGGTTTCACGAATAAGACGTTCGTCATGAGACACAATAATAACACCACCTTTATAGTCATTTATAGCTTCAGCTAAAGCGTCAATTGACTCGATATCGAGACTAGAAAAAAAAAGATATAATTAATAGTGACACAAAAGAATTAAGGAATTGATTACTTGTTCGTAGGTTCATCAAGAATCAATACATCTGGAGCGCCTAATGTCAGCTCTGCTAATGCAACCTACAAGAAAATTAAAAATTTAAACTATGTTCAATTGTTAAATTAAAGACAATTTATACTCTAGCTTTTTGTCCTCCTGATAAATCCTTCATTTTGATTGTGTGAGCATGACTGCTTAGACCGAAAGTTCCCAATTGTTTACGAGCTTTTTCATAAGGCAAATTAAACAATCTTATTAAATATTCAGCTGGCGTTTCCTCGGCAGTCAAATGTTCTCCAGAATGCTGATCAAATCGTCCGATTCTCAATCGATGATTTTTCTTTTGTTCGCCCTTTTTCGGTTCCAATTCACCAACCAATAATTTAAGGAACGTTGATTTTCCGACACCATTAGGTCCAACGATGGCTATACGACTGCTTAAGTCAATTCCAAATTCCGTATCAATAAAAAGTGGTTTTTGACCTTCAAAAGCAAATGTGACATTATGTAGACCCAAAATTGGTGGTTGAAGTGGTGGTGGATCTGGAAAGCTAAATTTGACAATGTAATCTTTAGGCCTTGCCAGCAATTCAACTGGTTTATCATCATCCAAATCCTCTTTGCCTTTCTTTATTTTCTCTTGCTTTTTACTAAGCGTATCTTTAGTTTTCTTCTCTGCAGATTTTTTTGATTGACCATGAGCTTTCAATTCCTTTATACGTTTTTCTTGCTTCTCATATTCTTTAACCATTTCCCTACGTTTTTGGACAAACATTTTCTTAAACATTGAATAATTTCCTTTATAATAGTACAATTTCTTATTATCAAGATGAATGATTTCATTACAAACGTTGTCCAAGAAGCTTTGGTCGTGACTCACAATAAGAAGAGTTTTCTTCCATCCTTGTAAATAATTGTCTAACCAAATGACAGCATTTAAATCAAGATGATTAGTAGGTTCATCAAGTAACAATAATGTTGGTTCAATAAACAAAGCACGAGCAAGTGAAACTCTCATTCTCCAACCTCCAGAGAAATTTTTCGTTGCACGATTTTGCATAGATTTCGAAAATCCAAGACCAGCAAGAATTCTTCTAGCTCTTGGCTCCGCCGAGTCTGCTCCAATTGCCTTTAATTCAGCATAAACATCATTTAATCGATCCTGTACTTTTAAATTTCCTTTTTCAGTTTCAGCTTCCAAATCCTTGGCTTCTTCAAGCAAAGCTGTTCTCTTAGAATCTGCTCTTAGAACTGTTTCGACAGCTGAATAATCATCAGCAACAACTTCTTGCTCACAAAGCAACACATCAATATTTGGTGGAATATCGAAGGCACGATTTGCTAAATGTCTTAATAATGTCGTTTTTCCGTGCCCATTAGGACCTACTAAACCATATCTACGTCCATTTGCAATCAACAAGTTTGAGTTTACAAATAAATCATTACCTTTTGCTGATATTGTAAAATTTTCAACTTTAATATCAACAGCATGTTCCAAAGCAGCTTTTTGTCCACCAGTTTTGTGAGCTTGTGACATTGTAAAGTTACTATCTAATTCAGAATGTCCTTGACCTCCCTTCCTTAGCATATCTTCCAATTGTTGCTCATACATTTGCTTCTTTTTAATTTTTTTCAATTCCTTATTTGTAACTCTCTTCTCAGATTTGTCAGTGATTTCTGTTTCAGCCATTTTATCCTCTAATTCAGCAATGTCATCTGTTGGTTCTTCAGATTCAACAACAACTATCTCTTTTCCCTTCTTTTTCTTATCTTTTTTATCCTTGGGTTTTGTTTCTTCGACAACTTCTTGTTTTTCTGGCTGGATTTCTTCTTGTACAGGCACAATATCCTCTTTTGAAGGCACAACTTTCGCTTCGTTTTGAGGTGAAATATTTTCCTTTTGTGGCACAATTTTCTTTTCTTCTACGTCCATTTCTGATTGACTGGGGATTTGTTCATCTTCCGATTCTTGTCTCTTTGTGGCTTTGCCTTTTTTCTTTGATTTCTGAACTGGTTTAAATGAAATTTCTTCATCAGATGATTCCTTTAATTCTTGTACTACTTCTTCTTCATCAGAATCAAAATCCTGGACCTTTTTCTTCTTGCCTTTCTTGTCTTTCGATTTTGACTGTTGTACAGGCTTAATTGGTTCCTCATCTGCATCAATGTCATCGTCGTCTGATTCTGGAAGGTTTTTACCTTTTTTCTTATTTTTGCCTTTAGATTTTACTGGAGCAACAATCTCTTCTTCTGACTCGCTTAAAAGCTGTTCATCATCAGACGATTCTTGTCTTTTAGATCCCTTTCCTTTTTTCTTTGATTTCTGGGAAGATTTTTTTACTGGAACATCATCCATTTCAGATCCATCAGATTTTTCCAGTTTAAGCAAATTTTTTTCATCCTCGTCATCACTACCAAAATCATTCTTCTTCTTATTAGCTTTCTTTTTACTAGATTTTGCTGAAGCTTTAGACTGTTTTTCTTGAACTGATTCAGATTTTACAGGTTTTTCATCCTCACTGTCACTACAACAATAAGTCATTCGTATTGTTTTATATTAATTTCATTAATTGTGTAATTCTTACCTTCCAGCAACTTGTTTTTTGCCTTTCTTATTTCTTTTTTTTGTAACTTTCTCTTCCTCATTTTTACCTTTTGATTTACTTTTAATTTCCTCAACTTGATTCTCTTCTAAATCACTATCAAAATCTTTGTTTTTCTTTCCTTTTCCACGCTTAGACATATTTAATATTTAAATATTAATTAAATTGATATAATTTCTTGATTTTTGCACAGACAGCACGTTTCTGGGCAAATCTATAAATCAATAAAATGTTTAATTTAATAACTCGAAGTGAGATCAATGCAGTTTATGAAACAATAAATGTTTAATATAATATTAACTGTGATTTAGAAACAACTGTTTGACAAATTCACTGCTCAATTAATTTTAATTCACAAACTTTTAAAATAAAATAAATTCGATGAAGTTTACGCGAAGAATTATCCTTCCCAGGGTTGTTAAAACATATTCTGTTTCCAAATATGAACACTTATATCGAACACACTTCACAAAATATGAGGATATGTGCACATTGCCACCGATTTCCACACATATCCGACCTTATTTATGACAATTTATGAGTGCAAATATTTCAAAACATACCAGATTCTATTTTTAACAACCCTGAACCTTTCTATAATATTTGCTATAATTTGATAATGCATTTTAACGGTTTTATAAAATTTAAATTTATTCTGAAAAAAATAATAGAAAATTTTCAGAAAAAATAAAAAAAATTAAAATACAGAAAATACAAGTTAATTAAAGGATTAAGACAGAGATGTCGACTGAAATAAAGCCAGCAACGACTACCACAGGACGTAACAATGATAGATTCAATACAAGCAGAAAGGCTGAACTTTTAAATAAGATTGAAGGAATTCAAGATGATATTAACAAAGCAATATTTTTTGATCAAGAAGGAATTATCAGCGTATCCGAAGACAAGTAATGCTATATATACATTTTAATCATACTTATCAGCTATTGTATGTACGTTATTAATTTGATAGAACAATTCGCGTGTGGTTAAAAAGAGATTCTGGAACATATTGGCCATCTATAGTAAATTTTATGCCTTCACAATGTTCAGCTTTAGGTAAGTGAAATCTAATTATATTATTGCATTGTAATCACTATATGCATGACTCATTCAACCGAATGTATATTACGTTTTGTAGAGTATGTACCAGAGAGCCGAACAATTTTTGTTGGACAAGAAAACGGGACTATATCGCAATTTGTAGTTTCTGAAGATTGTAATAGATTAACGGCTATTAAAGAATATCTTGCACATAATGCACGAATAACTTCATTGATTTTCGCAAAAAATTCTGGATGGATTTTAAGTGCGTCTCGTGATAAGACATTTGCAGCACATTGCATAGAAACATCTAATAAAATTGGAGGCTATACATTTGAAGCTTGGTGTACTTCAATGCAGTTCGATTCCTTATCAAAGCATGTATTTATTGGTGATTATGCTGGACAGATTACAATGTTAAAACTCCAACAATCTGGTGCAAGTTTGGTAACAATATTGAAAGGACACACAGCAAGTGTTCGATCATTGTACTGGTCTGACGGTCCTCAGTTGCTATTCAGCGGAAGTGCTGATGTAAGTTTAACTATAATTATAATAGTGATTTTTTTTTAAAATTGATAATTTCCTTATAATCATTAGAATTCGGTAATTGTTTGGGATCTTGGTGGAAGAAGAGGAACCACTTATGAATTACAAGGTCATCAAAATAAAGTGTCTGCATTGGGTTATGGCAAAAGTACACAGGAATTGATTAGTGCTGGTGAAGATAGTGTAATTGTTCTCTGGAAGGTAAGCTCAAAATCAATTTTAAGTACAATGCTCTCAGTTCTACATTTTGCATACCTGTTAAACAGATAAACTGTATGAGAAAAGCAGCGGCTGATTGGGTTGAATCAGATACCTGTCAACTCTGTGCAAAGCCATTCTTCTGGAATATAAAAGCGATGTTTGAACAAAAAGCTCTCGGAGTTAATCGTCAGCATCACTGCAGGAATTGTGGAAAGGCAATTTGTGATAAGTGTTCACCGAATAGAATCAACATTCCAATTATGGGCTTCGAATATGATGTGAGAGTTTGTAATACATGCTATGACACCCTAAAGGACACTGATCGTCCATCTTTGGCTACTTTTCTTGATGCAAAGCATTCAATAGTATCAATAGATGTTGATGAAGATAAGAAGCATGTTTTGACTGTTGGACAGGATCGTGTAATTAAAATTTGGGATCTATCTAATCTATGGTAGGTTTTTATGCTCTTCCTAGTTTAGGCGTTTCGCTAAACGTTTATTTGGGCCTAATTTCAATATACAGTGACAGTTTCATCACAATAATTCTCATATCTATTATTTATCTATGTAAATCATAGATCATTAGCTAATGTGTCAATGATATTGAATTCTGTTAATCCTAGTGAATTTCCAAAATTTATCAAATACGTTATAATTTTCACTTAAAGAAAATCAATTAAATTGTCTTATTCGCATTTATTGAATTGAAATTTCCCAAATTACTGCTTATTTCGTACTAAATGTTATTTTTCCGTTCATTTGCATTATCGTTAAATTCTCTGAACGCAAAAGAAATATATTGTCGCAATATTTTTCATATATTTTATCGCGTATAAAACATGAACCAATTTTTGATAAAACATAAATATGCGGTGCTTTGTTTAAGAAATGCTAATGAAAAGAAAGCATGATCATAGATTATCGGTGTTTTATATATATATATGAATTTTAAACACTAAAAAAATCTTCATTCACTCAAACACACAGGAAATGAAATAAGAATTGTCTTTTCTTACAATAGATTGATTATTATTATTACAATTCGAAAAGATTTTTAAATATACATTGAAATATTAAATTACCTACAATCAATTTAGAACTAAATTAATCTAAAATCTTATTTTCTATCGTTATTTGTATCCTTATATCATATATATGTAATGTATAATGAAAATAAAAAAAAATTATACCAAAAAATATATATGAAGAACTAATAAAAATGAGAAAAATGTGGCAATACAAAAATGGCAATAAGATCTTTTTGATAATTTTATAAGTCACCATAGGCGAGACTAAAACGCATTTCAACACGAATCGATCAGTCAATTTCTTAAAACCAAGTTTAATTTCTGAAAATTATGTACAAAAAAATTAATATTTTGAAGAGTAATAATAAGAAAGAGAGAGAGAGAGAGAGAGAGCTGCTATTGCACATCAGTGATATAAATAATTTAATTCGTTTAAAGTGAAAAAATATTCTCTAACTAGCTCCGCGAAAATACGGACAAAACGTACAGGTACGAGACTAATATTAAAAATAAATTAAATTAAAATGAGGTATTATGAACATTCACCGGAACAATAAACAGGGCATTGGTATTTATCTTGAGGAACACATAAGCCTTCATTCTCATTAAATATGAAATTTTTAAGACACGAAAGTTTTGTGGCACTGCCGTTCACACAAAAATGGTAATTTTTGCATCGTGAATCATAATCGGCAAAGAAACCATCATGTGGACATTGTGTACATTTCCGCTGTACGCAATTTAATTTTAATGCTAAGTTATATCCAACATTTGGGCATGCATATGATTGCGGAGAAACACAGCTGTGTCCATTGAAAATTCGTCCGTTTCTACATGTTATTACTTGGAGCTTTTCTGATTGCTTGCAATAAAAGTATTTTGAACAACCTGACTTGACATCCTGATAATATCCATCAGATTTTCCCGAACAATCAGAATTCTTTTTAACACATATATCGACATGTCGCTTTGACACACATCTATTTCCATCAAATGCTTGACCATCTTTACATAAAAATGAATATTTTCGATTTGATGAACAATAGAAATAAGAACGACAATCAAGATTGTTATCCTTATAATATCCATCTTCTTTTGTATCACAAGAATCTTCGTCGAGATTTGGGCATGTATATTGTCGTTCTTCTACACATGATTCTCCATTAAATAATTCATTATTTGAGCAACTGAATGTTGTTTTTCGACCATTATAACAAAAGAAGTAATTCTTACAAGATGATTCAAGCGATCGATCCTGATAATATCCCATTTCTAAATGCATACAATCACTAGAACGTGTCTCATGAATACATAATGATGTCGACTTGTAGACACACTGCTTACGATGATTATCAAATACTTGTCCAAGTAAACATTCTTCAAATTGAATTGGAGCGCCACGATAACACTTGACATAAGCATTACAACTAAAACGTGGATCCGGGTGAACTCCATCAGCTTTTCCCTTACAAAGACGTTCTAATCTTGACGATTTTGGGCATTCATAAATAGTATCTGGCACACAATTCCCCTCAATGGGATCGAAAACACTCGACGATGGACATTTAAGATGTGCTGTTTTACCGTTGAGACATTTAATGTATGATTTGCAATTTTTTGAACTCTCATCAGCATAGAAACCATCAGATAAGAAGCGACATTCATCATATGAATGAAGATCGCAGCTTCTTTTAGTTTTTAAAGCAGTTTTTTGATTGTTATAAAGCATCGAATTTGGCACATCACACTTAACAGTTTCGGCATATTGACACTGAGTTCCATTAAATAGATATCCACTTTTGCAATTCTCATAGCTCAAAATTTTTCCATTTTGACAGCGAAAGAAACGATGACACGATTGTGTCGTATCCGGATAGTATGAATTGTCAAACTTTTCATGACACGTTGACTCAAAACAAACATCTAGTTTGAAATTTAAATAAATAAAGATGATATAGATTTCTACCTAATAAAACACCAACTTTATTGACTCACTTGTATTGCTGATGCACTTTTGCCTATAAAAATCAAACATCATTCCTAAAGGACATTCATAATTAATTTTATGTCCCTCACGACAGCGATAATACATTGCACAATTTGTTTGTGGCATTGTATAGTAGAATTCGTCTGTATTGTTGCATATAAAATTGATACACTCGACAAAATTTGCCAGATTAATGATAGCTGCTTTTTTTGAACAAACAAAAAAATAATGAAAATGAGGGAAAAATTAGACAAGAAAGGAACATCAAATAGTTTTTTACCGCAACACGACAAAAAAAAATACAAGAGAGATCAGAGCAAAATTGCTGATTGGCTCACGGAATTACATTCCGAACAACAAAAAGCCAACGCTTCTTGAGGAGTCTCTCAAAATTATTTATTTATTTTTTTTTTTGTCCGGCGCTTAAAGATCAAAAAAGAAGCAATGAGCCAAAAACAAAATCAGAGTAAATTTTTATCGATAGCGGCGCTATGATCTTCATTAAATTGAATATATTCACTCAATCACAAAACACGCGGATCGTCGGCAATGCACAAACATTTTAATTTGATGACAGTTCAATAAACTTGACTGTCTAAATATTTACTAAAAATAGTCACAATGTTCCGCATTTGTCAAAAGAATTTTAAAGACATTCTTTTTTTTTGAAGCGTTAGCGCCACACGCAACTATTTATTTAGTTGATATATAGATATATGAATGAAATATGATGTTAAAAATGTAAGTAGTAGCAATAATGACTTGTAAAATAATTCTATTAAGATAACGATTGGTGATTTATTCTAATGTGTTGTATGTGCGTTAACAAGAATTGAATTAAAATGTCATGATTAATCAAGTCAGAGAACATCACTAATTGAATTATCTTGGAACGCATTAAATGAAACGAATAATATTAAGCTCTTTATATCCTCAATGACTTGTCATAATTCACCAAGTCATTTATCAGGACAAAATGAAATTATAATCTGATTTACGTTGATATAAATACGGTAAAATGCTGAAGTAGACACAAATTGCCGCATAATCTTGTTAGGAGATGAAGAAGATGAGACTTAAATGATGTGAATCGATATCGTCTGATATTTTATTTATTTAAATAAATTGTATAAATAAACAATTCCGAAACAAGGCGGCATTTCTCTTTTAACAACCTTATGTTCGCGCATTTAAATCTTTTTAATTTTATTAATTCACTCTCTGCTTGATAAAATAAACAGAACAGAGAAAAAAAAATTATACACAAATGGCTTTTTTATCATATTTTATCGCTTGTTTCTCATGTTCTTTTCGATCATTCGCTTCTAGTTTTATTTTAATTTTTTTCTTCTTCTTTTTCATCTCTTCTTTTGCGGAGAAGATCTTTATCGCTTTGATGCTGTTCATTCTTTATTTTATGATGATGATCATCATCATGATGAAAAGAATTATGAAAATCCGTTTATCTCGTGCAGAGTGAGAAGCTTTTCATGTTTCACATGGTCTTCATATTTCCCACGAGAGAAATTCAAAAAGGATCTGCGTTATTCACGACAATTCTTTCTTATTCTTTTTCTCGTTATGTCCCCTGCTGATTGGCTAACTGACTTAACAGACTATATGATCAGGATATGATTGAATTATCATCAAATAACATCAAAAACTTTATCTGTTCGGCACAAAGCTTTATGATCTCGTTTTTGCATAAAAGACGACAGAAAAATTCATTCATACCAAAGGCAACGACAGCAGCAGCGATGCGAAACATTTTTTTTTTTTGTTGCTTTGCTTTTGTTTCCAAAAATTCCAAAATCGATTAATTTAAATTCACTCTTAATTAATTAATTTTGTATCAAACTTTAGATTCTTATTTATGATTATAGACACTTTTCAAGCATTACACACGCTGATATTTTTTTTCGTTCATGCAGTTACAAATTAACAATATCCGGCATCAAAACGTTATAACACTTTTTTTCATAGGTTACAGCCTTGATCTTTTTTTTTTCTTTCCTTTTTAATGAACCCTCTTGTTCTTAATTAAATGCTTTTTACAGTTATTTATTCTTTGAAAGCTCAACTTTTACTTATTTAAATGACTTATTTATTATTTTATAAGGCATACGATGCAAATTTACAACTATTACTCGTTATTTTTGACGTTCTCGTGTCCAATAATAATTCAAGGAATTTCGCTTATTCATTCAATCGCTTGAAAAAATTAATTTGAGACACTAAAACAAAATATTTTACGCGCTTTAAATTGAATACACAAGAGGCACTGAATAAACTTTCTTATTTGTCGTAAAAAAAATACCGATCTTATGTGCATTTAGCACATCGCGAGACTCAACAAGCAAATGAGACTCTGCGAATGTTAGACTTTTAAATTTATATTCGAATAGTGTCTGCCGATTTGCTTATTTAAAATCTGATTTTTATTTTCGGGAGAGAATTGAGAAAGATCGAGAGTTGAAGAAGAGCAAGTGTGAAGCTGAGTTTGATGGGAAAAAGGTAAGGATACACAAAAGATGAAAAGTAAATGTTTAAAATGATTTCAAAGATTAAGTTGAGAGAAGTGTGAGAAAAATTCTCACTTAGCACGTGCTGCTTAAGATACATCGAATATTAAAAAGTCAGATATTTTCTCCGTTTATTATTTTTGCATTACTTTAAAGCAGTTAATGAAAAATAAACAAAAAATTGCTAAACAATTGAAAACATTTTGTTCTTTTACAGGTGATTCTAAAAATTCAAATGATATTTCAACCTAGCTTCTAAACTTCATTCATATAATTCAGTTAAATACTTCACTAATTGAGTACTATTCGGTGCTCAAAAATAGACGGTAATCCCCGTCAATTATTTTAAATTGATTATTTTCAACAACAATCTTTATTTTTAAAACAGACTAGCATAATTTATTAATAATCTAATTGCTTTTATTTTGATTCCTTGATCCACAAAAAAATTGTGTCTGGTTCCGGTATCTGAATTTACTTATGAAAATCTTAAGCTATTAAATTAGAAATTGTAAGACACTAATTACCAAAATTTACCAAGATGGTGTTAGCCTGAAGTTTTATGACACACTTCAAAAAATAGCTCAGTGAAAATATTACTATCCAAACTTGTCCAGGATACAGAAAATTATCGCGTGGCCAAGAAGTTATCTACCTTTGTTCGCCGTCTGTTCTTCATTAAGATAGCTTGACAAGAAAATTGCAAATTTCAAGTTAACTTTGAGCTTTACCATAGCTTATAATTTTAATTATTATATACCGTACTATTGAAAGAAATAAACTACTCATATCAAGAATGCTTAATTTTTTTACACTAGGCTACCATGAAGATGTTGAAATATAATGATTCCTTGTAATATTCAGTCAACGTTAGTGCAAGTGAACATAAAATAGTATAACTTATGTATGGAATTTAACTCCATTATTTGTAGTATGTCGTTGTTGATCCGTATTCGGTCAATAGAAGAGAACTTTATCCTTAAAAATGATGCAATAGTTTTAACAATGACAGAATCATTAGAAAACCATTTGCAATGCTTTAGAAAATATGCACTTAAATATCAATTGTGTCGCAAATCATGTCTGTCGTTAATTTTGAACTTTTAATGAAAACAAAAATAGAATGAAAATTTTAATAGCTTCAATCTCGCAAAAAATGCGCAAAAAGCATCTAAAATGTAAATTTGAGAAACATTGTATCTTTTTTCGCGATGATTCATCCATACCTTCTCCAAGCACGTGCGTTTTATTGAACTTCAACACAAAAAATAGCAATAATTTATTGACTATTTAGATTAATGGATAACTTGTTTAGAAACGATTTGTCTCAATATTTAAGATGATACAATATTCATCATGTCATAGGGGAATAAATGAATGCATATGGGATATTCATAGGACTTAGCATATCTTAAGATATATGAATGAAAAATCATCGATATTTTTCACAATAAATCATCTGATAGGCATTTTAAAAATAAATTTTATATTTATATTCACAAATAAAAGATATTTCTTTTTTGGATCATTCGATTATGCTAAGTTTGTGAATTTGATTTAATACCGGAGAATTTTTTTTTTCTCAGTTCTTTCGCTGAGCGTAACCCCATACTCGATCCCAGATGTTGAAAAAAAAAAACTTCATTCAAAAGTTTATTCAGTGTGCTGTATATAAATTGAGTGTTATTGTCTTGTATAGTATCAAATTGCAAACGGATTTACGCTCATCTTTCGTAACATATTTTTGTGGAAAGCTACCAACAACTAGATTTTTTTTTTTTATTTATACAAAACAAATGTGCTTTTGGGTCTTTCACATCATTTTATCTTCGTTTTTTTTTTTCACTTTTTTAAGAAACAGATTATTTCATGTTTGAATCATAGTTGAATATTTTATTCTTTCTGATCTCATCCTCGAAAGAGACTCCATGAGAAATATTATCGAAAATATATTTTTTGATTAAATCAATGTAAAAAATGCAAATTTTCATAAGAGATAGAGAGAGCTTGCATATCATTTTCAAAGTATGAAAAGAATTACCCAATAAATTTTGACTTAATCTCAAGTTGTGGACATTTTTAAAGATATTTATATCTTAATTATTTAAATTTGGTGCGAGCATTTAATGGATTATAGCACATATTATCACTTTTTAATACGCTTTTATTGATACATGACAATCTATTCACATTGTCGCGATCCTCCTTCTGTTGTTGATCTTAAAATGTGTGTTCATGTGAGGCGCTAAAGCATGAAAATTGAAAAAAAAAGTATAAATCGACGATGATCTATGAGATTGTTATGGTAAACTTTTTTTCACAATTTTTTATTTAATTTTAAGCTTGTACAAATAAGCAAGCAAAAAAAACGATTTAGAAGATTAATATACTTCAGAAAATATATTTGGATAATAAAATGATAATGTTCGACAAAAGAGCGAACAAGCAGAACTACACAAATATTGAACAGGTTTGAAGATTATTTTAGAAATCGATTCAATGATTCATCAGAAAATGTTTTGCGAGAAGATACCCCTCTAGACTTGGCATCGCCAAGATGTCTCAACCATCATTTTCTGTATGGTGATACTTTTTTCTTTGTTCCAACAACTCAAAACATCATAAAACAATCTAATCCGCATTTTTCATAAAGTATCAAATGACAAACGATGAAAATTTATTCTCACTATTATTTCTCAGTGGAATTATTTTAGGAGAAAAGATTTGCGATTGCTTGACAAGTAAAAAAGGAGGATGAGACTTGTTCTGAATAGGACAGCGCCAGTTTTCGTGTATAAAAAGCAAATAGTAATTACTCATGATGATTATTGAAAAACGATGTTTAAAAATCAAGAAGTTTGATTCATTATATAATTAAATCTTCTAAAAGTGAATGGAAGGATGAATAGCCTCAATTCTTTAACGTACTGGGTTTTAACATTTCACGCAATCACAGGGAATTCTTTTTTTAAGTGTTGCTATTCTTACACATGATTTGTAATCATCAAATTGTTAGTATGAATAAAATTCAATACCACACGCAACTCATCAAACAGTTAGAATATGTTTATTTGCGTTACCAGCCAGTGGCTTATGAGATGGAAAAAGTTTTCAAAATCGTTAGAAAAATGCGTAATATTGGGATGTGACTTTTTTAAAGTAATGGCAACATAAAAGAAAAATTTATAATTTTCATTGAAATCTTAAATTTTCCAAATCTAAACTATCTTGAAACTATTCTAGCCATTAAACCACTTTTAAATTATTTTGTATAGTATTCAACTAAGTATATCTGTCAAATCAAAAATAAATCAAACGAACAGGCTCGAATAACTTTAAACCTGAAATTTTTAAACTTTTTACAAATCTCAATTTTGAACAATCTAATTTAATTCCGGACCAACGATAACTATTTAATTGAATACAATTTTATCGATCACTTTGCAATATCATTAACTTTTTATCTCCTTAACTTCTAGAAATATTGTTTGATAATATAAAATAAATAAAATTTAAATTTAAAGGCAGAATAATCAATGTTGGCTACTATTGTGTTTCCAATAATAAAATTAGGCAAGAGAAAGAACAATAAAGCTTTCATAGTTCGAAAACATTTACTCATTTAAACTATTAAAAAATGGTTTAAGATTTCAGAAAAAGTTATCGACACAAGGAGACGTGTGGCATCAACAGATGTTTTGAATATTTAAAGAACATAGACTTCCATTTATTAAAACACATTAAGATCACTATCATTCTTATACTGAACTCAAAAATATTTTAGTTCCGTCATTCCTTCAAGAAATTTTATATCAAAATATCTTTGAACTTTAAATTCATAAATTTAATTAAAGATTCTATGAGTGAAGAGAGTTCTTGCCGCACACTTGAAATTTAATTAAATTCAATAAAAAGCAACTGATAACATCTACATTCATGAATATGACTCTATGTCCTGATACATCAAAATAGACCTTAGGGTCATTTACTTATAAGTGGAATTCAAAAAAATGAGCATTTATAATCCAATGTCAATGGATTCTGTTTAAAAAAATGTTTTCTTTTATTGATTTTTGCAGTTAAGGATTAAGAAGCTTCAACTTTTACCCTACACTATTTAGCACTAACTTACAGCTGTAGATTACAGATGAGCTTACGTCCTTACGTAAAAATTAAATTACAGCTGTTGTTTATTTGGCTTGCAGATGGTGTTTAAAGTTTAGCTACACTTACAGCTGGATCAATTTTCTCTTTTTAAGTATTAAACTCAGTAAAAACTAATTTTTGTCCCAGACTTTTTTAAAAGAAAAAATTAAAATTGAAACCAGCGAAATTTGCAAGAAATTGATCCAGCTGTGAGTGCAACTAAGTACTTGCATAATCTATAAACAACATCTGTATTAACAGCTGATTGTTATTTGAGCCCAATAAACTACAGCTGTTATTTAATTTTTACATAAGGACGTAAGCTCATCTGCTATCTACAGCTGTAATTTACTGCGAAATATATAGAATAAAACTTTTGCAGATCATAAAACAAAAAATCATCTAAAGAATTAACCTTATTTCAAAATATTTACTTATTAAACTTATGAAATAAAAAAGCTTTTTAAAATTTTCTAACGTTCTTCCGAGATACAAAAATTAAAAAGCTCAAGCAACTTTTTATAAAATAGATAATGCATGAATCATTCATAAATGTGAAGAAGAGAATAAAGAAAGAACATGATAAACAAACCAGCATTATAAGATTGTATTAGTTTAGCACGTTGTTGATCGGCACATGTTGCGTATTCATATTCACCTGTGTTTTGTTTTGCTTTTATACTTTTGATGTATTTTATCGCATGTGATTGTATTTACCTGTCGGCTTTTTCCAAATACAACTAAACCACCGCTCAACAAATTCTGAGAGTAAAACCTTCCAGTTACAACTCTTGGAAAATTTCATTTTTAATTTTTGAGTTAAACTTCAGTTACGGAGAAGTCTTTCACTTGAATGGTCGAACCACATAATTTTTCCGAATGTTAATTAGTGACAAATATTTTAAATGCAAATTGTGTAAAAAGTAAATTAATTAATGATATTTTAAGTTGATAAATCATCAAGTTAAAGTCATTCAGATCAAATGATAATATTTTTATAGTCAAAAGGATGAAATTTTGTGTAAAATGATCATGTTTGTATGTATGTGTGATGGAGAAAAAATTAACGGCATATTTTCAACTGATTCATTGTTATAAGTGCTGATGTAAGTGGATTAAATACTTCTTTTTATGCGTTAGTCAATAAAAAAAGAAGTTCTTGATTAAGTAGTTTAAAATAAATGAAAGAGAAAAAAATGCTAAAGGAATAAAGTCAATTACGTGCGAGTTCATCAAGGAATGAAATAAAAAAAAATGAGGATTGAAAAGAAAATAATCATACTATAAGTGATAAGTAATGTCCAAAGTGTATCGAAATTTCTCCTCATCTTCTGCACACAGAACTAAAAGTGGAATACGAGTGAATATATAAGGAACGAAAAAGAGTTAATTATACCGTTCATTTCTGGTTCTTCTGCTTCATAAGGTAAACTTTTCTTTCGTAAGAATCTTTCATACACATACTCATGTCGTCTTTTCTTGTACGAGATATTTTTTTTTTCTTACTTCTTTTCTTCTGTTTTTTTTTTTATATATTTCAACTTAACTTTTTTTTCGCCTGTTCTCCTAATAGTACAGATAGAAATTATTTTTACGTTCTGCTTACACACAATGTGCACACTACCGATGAAATTCTCGACATTTGTGTTATGCACTAAGCAATAAAAAATTTCACATTCTTCTCTTTAATAATGAATAATGATAATAATTACAATGATAGCAATGTTACTTTTTTGGGGAAAATGTCTCATCCAAAAAAATGTGACTTGCTTAATTGTAACAACTTTATAATTGTTTAAATCTTTTGAGCGTTACAGAAGTTTCTTTATTGTTATTACTAGACCTATTCATTTACTTTATAAATATTGTTTCGTGGCCGATTACTTTATGAGGAAAAAAAATATTATTTATTGTGTTTGTAAATTTAAATTACTTACTGAATACTGATTTTGCAATCGGGAATCATGGACTAAAAAACTCACGTTATCCGTCATGGTTGAGCAATCAGGCAGTTTTTTTCCCCTCTATCTCTTACTCATTTTCTATAGAAATGTGTGCACAGCATATTTCCACAATAGATAGACCCATATATGGGGAATTAATTGATTACGTCGATATATGCTGGAATTCTGTTTCTTCTTCGATTGAAGAGGTGTTTAACGCATTAATACAAACGAACATGTTGAGAAATGTAAACTTTTAAACAGAAATAAGAATTAAAATAAGATATGCATGCGTGAAAGCAACAACTAGTTTTTACCACTGATACTTATGCGAAATTGATCAATTTCTAATGTTAAACAGCATTAAATATCTAATAAGCATCCTATCCAGAAAAAAGAATATCATGTGATCTTCGAATCAGTATGCCAGGAACAATATTTTTTTATCAGCAAATATGCGTTCTTTTCATTCATTGAAATGAAAAAAATGATCATAAAAAAATTTCTACATTGCTTTTATGGTCTATGGAACTCTCCTCTTATTTTCTATATTCATTGAAATCATGTCCAATTTGTTTAAACAGTTTTTCATGCGTTGCATACCAATTCAATAATAGTTTTAGGAATCTACTTCATTGTTGCCCATCGAAAAAACAATCTTACTAGTTTTATATTTTGACCATTCGCATTCCAAGTGTATATCACTTCTTCTTCCATGACATGAACAATTTGATAACAGTAATTGTAATTGTGCAGTTAGGGCTCACACAAAAATATCTCAGAAAAAATATTCCCAAAAATTAATTTCCCAACAAGACTCCTTTCATTAGGTATTGAATAGTCAAATTGAATCGAAGATCACCGATTGAATTTGCATTAAGAATGAAAGTATGCTGATAAGAAAGTTTCCTTCAAACTTTACAACCGATAACACTTGAATGACCTCGAAATGTTGTAAATATATCTCGTGAGTTTTATTATTAAAGCCTTTGTTGTTGATTCATTTTATTACAATAACAACTGTAGATGGAATTTTATCGGTTATGAAATATTTTGATAAGGCTGATAATAGTACATATAGTGAATGTATGTACACCTGACTGACAATTTTTCATCCTGTCAAAAAAGTAGTTACGATTTAATTTTATCAAATTTTTACAATCATATCTCACAACGTGCTTATCGCAACGTAAGTTTTGATTAATGAATTACTTATTTTATCAAATAACGTAATTAGTTATGAACACCGTCATTATACAACTTCCTAATTATTTTATTGCTGATGAATGCATTTAATTTAGATGTGTATCTGAAAACTTTTCGCGATTTTATCTTTCAAGCAGAAATTATTTAATAAATAAAATTATTGCAGTCAGTTATTAAACTGTTGAAATAATCAAATGAAAATACGGAAAATGTAGTAAAAAGTACAGAAATGTCGTGTGCCAGTTATTTTGAAATGACTCTTTACCTTGAAAATTTGTCGTCAAATTTTTGAAATTGTTCGACGATGAGGCAATTTACTTTGATTGTTTCGAGAGCTTTACAATTATTAATCATTATTGATAAACAAGGCAATTAATGTCGTAAGCATTTCGTGATTCTTTATAATACCGACTAGATCACTTTAGTAAACTTCAATCTTAACGAAAGAGATGGCTATAGTCTTTCTAGCTGGTTACCCACAGAATCTATAATCAAATTGCAATCACTCTCCAGAGTTAATTTCCAGAGAATTTGAAACTAGTCTTTTTTAATTAAAGTTCAATTTTAAAGATTTTTTGCATGCAAAAAAAACAAAAAAATTAACATCCCAGATCATGTGTTTCAACAAAAATTAGTTCCTAAATAGTTATGAATACAATATGAAATTTCTAAAGGCATTAAAGAAGAATTTGTGTTAATTTGTCAACCACAAAATATTCCAAATTATTTTCCCAACAATTAAATCGAAAATCACCAATAGAACTCCATTAAGAATGAAAAAAATCTGTGGAAAGTTCAATGAATTCATTTCACGACATGTACAGGATTTCAAATAAGAATGCGAATGTTAAAGAATTCCATATGAAAAAGAAGACATCTCTGACCACATTTACTCAAACTGGAAAGTTGACGAATGAGAAGCAGAAAAAAATAACAAAAAAATAAAGTTTTAGAGAAAATAAGAGAGAAACTTCAATACTTTCTTCTTGTTGCTTGTTTTGTTTAGCAGTATATTCTTTGCCTTCTGAAGATTCTTACTTTTCCGAAAAGAAGGAATAACTTATTTAACACATCATCAACTAAAGCGATATATTATTCTGTTCTTAAGAAATTCTTCTTCAAGAATTCTATAAATAGAACTCATTGCAGACACAACTTCCATTTAAAACGTTGTGAGAAATTGATTATACAATGGGTGAGATGCCACAATAATGCCGATCGACCAATTGCGCAATTTTCATTCATTCTTTGTACCTCACAAAAGTCAATTGTATTTTCTACTTTCATCTTTCATAATTTTCACAGAAAGAGAGCACATCATATGAAGATCCCATACTTTTACTGTCTTCTGATGATTTCATGTACACATTCATAATAGTATGTGGCCATTTTACAGCTTTAATCAATTTAACAATGGTAATAGCTTTAAAATGCGGTGAAAGAACTGTTGAATGTTTAATAGAGAAAACCGTCATTGCATATTCAATTGCGTTTACCTATTTAAAACTCAATTTTATTTGATCTTCATCATCCATTAATTTCATTGACATTCAATCACGATTTCATTATTATTTAACACTGAAAATGTTTCAACATTTTTCTAAAATATTGGTGGAACTGATCAGCAAGTTCCTGTCTGTGTTGAGTTCATCAACAAATGTTGTTCAATGGAAAAAATTTATTTTAAAACTTACTTGTACTGGTGGTCATTAATGAACAGTTTCTTTATCAAATCTTGTAAATTCTCTTTTGATATTATTGCAGTAAGTACTGAAAATTGTTTAACTTGATAGTTTCTAAGCACACCTATCAATCTTTCCTATCTTTAAATCTCGTAAAAGAAAAAATACACTACATTCATTAAATGAATGTTAATGAGAAAAGAATTGTGTTAAACTAGAGTTTAAAAAACAAAAACTCCTAAGATTTAAAAATTTCACTCTTATGAAAAACAATCCTAGAAGTTTCTGATTTTTAAAAACTTCTTTGAATTTCGCTCTGAGTGAATGAGAGTTTTAAACTCTTACTGAAACCTCATACAACAATATTCCCATAGCATTACAACATTCCAAAGCTTCTTTCTTATTACTACCTAATTATATTTGATTGAGTATGATAAAAAGTCACAAAACATTAATTTTTGTCATTTATATGTTCTGCCTCTATTTAAGGTTTTAAGTGTAAAAGTCATTTTTTTTTTGCTGTTGTGTTGGAACTAAAATAGAATACAAAGTCATAAAAATGGTTCTTGTTACAAGGGGGTAAGTAATTTATTCTTATCTCTAATGTTATATACAATTTTTGAATTAATTAAAATTATTGTCTACAATGAAAGTGATCATATAACCATAAACACTTAGATTTTATCATTAACTTAAATCAGATAGCTTACAAATTTCCCACAAAGATCTTTAAACTTTATTTTTATATTCACACCGTTTTCACGTGTGAATCTATTGGTTTTGTTCAGATTGAAAAGTCAGTTTTTTGCATTTTGCGATGAAATGTAGCAAGATAGCTTAACATGTTCTAAGATGAAAAGTTTGTACCTGAAATTTCACATCTTTTGCAAAAAACAGATTTCAAATTGGTTGTGGCATTGCTGAGAAAATCGCAAAATACGCTTTCTGTAAGCAAACAAGCAAGTTAATCAGCAAGAAATCTCAATAACGAGACATCGTAGAGACTTCTAGTTTTTTACATTTGATCCGTGCTGCTCTATAGAAGAGCTGTATTGTTTATGGGCAAGGTAGGAACAGCCGTTGCTTCAGAAAAAGCAAAAAACTTTCCTTTCTCACGAATTTTTCAAAAAAAAAAGTTTACTGTGATTTTTATAAAATTCAACTTTTGACGTTAAGCTTTAGACCTTCAAACTTATGCTGAGCGAAGCTCAGCTGATTCGCTAGCTTTATATCTCAAAACTTATGCTGAGCGAAGCACACTTAACTTATCAAGCTTCATACCTTAATACTTATGCTGGGCAAATCTTGGTCTATCCATAAGACTTTTGATGGTACAGTGTGAATATAATCCGCATTGGGTTTCTACCCGATACACTAGTTTTTTGGTTCTTAAAATTACCGCCAATGATACTTTTAATTTTAAAAGGTAGCAAAATGATCGTTTCCCATACCCGAAAAAGAAATGGCCTCAAAAAATAATACGCACAGTTCAACATCGAAGATAAAAAAAAGTTGAGAATTCCCCTTTTTTCGTGAGCGATATTGTATAAATACAGCATGATTTTAATATTTTCTAAATAATAATATGAAAATTGTGACTCACCATACAGACCATTTCTTTTATTTGTATTTGTTGATCAAAACGGAAACGGTTCCATTCGTTGAATAATGGAATTTTCATTGTAGACTCTAGAGTCTTTTTTAATTCCTCTCTTTTACTCAAAAAAAGAAAGAAAAAATTCACAACAATCAAGTGCCCGCTGTGTAGTTGAATTAACCATAAAAATGTATGTTAATTCTGTTTTTCCTCTCTTCGTATGAAAATTTAGTGATTATATTTGGATTGAGCCAATTACTGGTCATGAATTTGATGTTGCTATTGGTGCTCGAGTCGTATCAGCAGAGGGTAGACGAATTCAAGTTAAAGATGATGATGGAGTTGAACAATGGCTTCCACCCGAGAGGAGAATCAAAGCTATGCATGCTTCATCTGTTCAAGGTGTCGAAGATATGATTTCATTGGGAGATTTACACGAAGCTGGAATTTTGAGAAATCTATTAATCCGTTATAATGACAATTTAATTTATGTAAGTTTAATGAAAGGAAAAAGAAGCTTTACGTTTCTTTAGCGTCGAACTAATACATCTCATTTGCCTTTTGTCGAAATCCGACACTAATTACTTTAATTCTTTTTCCTTCTTATTCTACGTATTTCGTTGTTAAATGTACAATATATAGACGTATACTGGATCAATTTTAGTTGCCGTTAATCCATATCAAATTTTGCCAATTTATACAGCAGATCAAATAAAAATTTATAAAGAGCGTAAAATTGGTGGGTAAAATTCAAATACAATTATAGAATGTTTATACCAGTTTATACATACGTGTTGTCTATTAATTCTCTAATATGTCTATTTATGTCCAGGTGAACTTCCACCACATATCTTTGCAATCGGTGATAATGCATATGCAAGTATGAAACGATTTTGTCAGGATCAATGCATTGTCATTTCGGGAGAGTCAGGTGCTGGAAAGACTGAAAGCACAAAATTAATCTTACAATATCTTGCAGCAATCAGTGGAAAACATTCATGGATTGAACAGGTAAATAAATAAATGATTAAAATTATATCATAGAGTATCATAATCAATTGATTGTATTTCCGTAGCAAATTCTCGAAGCGAATCCAATTCTCGAAGCATTTGGTAATGCAAAAACTGTACGTAATGATAATTCATCAAGATTTGGAAAATATATAGACATTCACTTTAGTCGTAATGGTGTAATTGAGGGAGCAAAAATTGAACAATATCTTTTGGAAAAATCTCGAATTGTATCACAAAATCCAGAAGAAAGAAATTATCATATTTTCTACTGTCTGCTAGCGGGTCTGTCAAGTGAAGACAAACGAAAACTGGAACTTGGAAATGCAAAAGATTATCGCTATTTAACAGGTGGTGGATGTGTGACGTGTGATGGACGAGATGATACAGCAGAATATGCTGATATACGATCAGCAATGAAAGTTCTCTGTTTTTCTGATCAAGAAATATGGGAAATACTTAAACTTTTAGCAGCACTGTTACATACTGGAAATATTAACTATAAAGCAATAACCATTGATAATCTCGACGCAACAGAAATTCCTGATCAAACGAACGCAAAACGTGTTTCAAATCTCTTAGAATTGCCAATGCAAGCATTTATTAATGCACTGACACGGAAAACATTCTTAGCGCATGGTGAAACCGTTATATCAACTTTATCGCGAGAGCAATCAATTGATGTAAGAGATGCGTTTGTAAAAGGAGTTTATGGACGTCTTTTCGTTTTAATAGTCAAGAAAATTAATAATGCAATATATAAACCAAAAACAACAATGAGAACAGCAATCGGTGTGCTGGATATTTTTGGATTTGAGAATTTTAATCTCAACAGTTTTGAGCAGGTAAATTTGATTGAGTGACACACAGACATTAAAAGAAGTCTTCTTTGTTCTTATGTCCATGAAAGAAAATTAAGACTAATTAAATTCACATTTATTATTCTTTATTTTACTTTTTTTTTACCTCCAACAGTTTTGCATCAATTACGCCAACGAGAATCTTCAACAATTCTTTGTGCAGCATATTTTTAAATTAGAACAGGAAGAATACAATCATGAAGCAATTAACTGGCAGCACATTGAATTTGTCGACAATCAAGATGCTTTAGATTTGATAGCAATTAAGCAGTTGAACATTATGGCACTTATAGACGAGGAGTCTAAATTTCCTCGAGGAACAGACCAAACAATGCTTGCGAAATTACATAAAACCCACGGTTCACATAGAAATTACTTGAAACCGAAATCAGACATTAATACATCATTTGGGTTAAATCATTTTGCCGGTGTCGTATTTTATGACACGAGAGGATTTTTGGAGAAAAATCGCGACACATTTAGTGCTGATATTCTTCATTTGATTGCAACATCGTCGAGTAAATTTCTTCAGCTTGTCTTTGCAAATGATATTGGAATGGGAGCAGAAACGCGAAAGCGCACACCTACATTGTCAACACAGTTCAAGAAAAGTCTTGATTCACTCATGAAAACCTTATCGACGTGTCAGCCATTCTTTATTCGTTGCATTAAACCAAACGAGATTAAGAAACCTATGATGTTTGACAGAAATTTATGTTGTCGTCAATTAAGATACTCAGGTATGATGGAAACGATAAGAATTCGTCGTGCGGGATATCCAATAAGACACAATTTCCGTGATTTTGTTGAACGTTATAGATTTTTAATTAACGGAGTACCCCCAGCACATAAAACAGATTGTCGTGCTCAAACATCTAGAATTTGCGCTCAAGTTCTTGGACGAACAGACTATCAACTCGGTAATACTAAAGTGTTTCTCAAGGATGCTCACGATTTATTTTTGGAGCAAGAACGTGATCGTGTATTGACTAGAAAGATTTTAATTCTTCAACGTTCTATACGTGGTTGGGTATATCGCAGACGATTCTTAAAAATGCGTGCAGCTGCAGTTGTTGTACAAAAGTATTGGAAAGGTTATGCACAAAAGAAACGATATCGTAAAATGAAAATTGGTTATATGCGCCTTCAAGCATTAGTCCGTTCGCGTGTGCTGAGTCATCGATTTAGACACTTGAGGGGACACATTGTAGGTTTGCAAGCACATATTCGTGGGTACTTAACACGTCGAGAATATGGGCATAAGATGTGGGCAATAGTCAAAATTCAAGCACATATGAGACGATTAATTGCTATGCAGCGTTATAAAAAACTTAAGATTGAATTCAGAAAACATCGTGAAGCCATTCGAATAAGAATGATGGAAGAGGAACAGTTGAAGCATCAAGGTAATAAACGAGCTAAAGAGATTGCAGAAAAAAATTATATAGAGCGAATAAACGAACTCGAACGAAAAGAAATGGAAGTAGAATTGGAAGATAGAAGAAGAGTAGAAGTTAAGAAAAATCTGATTAATGATGCGGCCCGTAAACAAGATGAGCCCGTGGATGATGGGAAATTGGTTGAAGCAATGTTTGACTTTCTTCCCGATTCTAGCAGTGAAGCACCCACACCACATGGAGGTCATGAAACTTCCGTATTTAATGATCTTCCGTCTGGCATTCAAAATGATGATGTAAATTCCTATTTTTTTAGAAATTTTTGTTTTAGACTTAATATGTTTTATGTTTTTCAGGACATAATTGGGCCAATGCATACTGTATCTGAAGACGACGAGGACTTAACAGAATTCAAGTTTCAAAAGTTCGCAGCTACATACTTTCAAGGAAATATCACACATTATTACTCACGAAAGCCACTTAAACATCCTCTACTTCCACTTCAAACACAAGGCGATCAGCTTGCTGCTCAAGCATTATGGATTACAATCTTAAGATTTACTGGTGATTTACCTGAACCAAGATATCATACAATGGACCGAGATAATACGTCAGTCATGAGTAAAGTCACAGCAACATTAGGTCGTAATTTTATTCGAAGCAAAGAATTCCAAGAAGCACAGTTGATGGGTCTTGATCCGGAGACGTTTGTGAAGCAAAAACCCAGATCAATTCGTCACAAATTAGTCTCACTCACATTAAAAAGAAAAAATAAGCTTGGAGATGATGTGCGTAAAAAGCTACAAGATGAAGAATACACTGCTGATTCATATCAATCGTGGTTAGAATCTCGCCCAACTAGTAATTTGGAGAAGCTTCACTTCATTATAGGCCATGGAATTTTAAGGGCTGAGCTACGTGATGAAATTTACTGCCAGATTTGTAAACAGTTAACGAATAATCCATCAAAATCATCGCATGCTCGCGGCTGGATTTTGCTTTCATTGTGTGTTGGCTGTTTTGCACCATCAGAAAAATTTGTAAATTACTTGCGATCGTTTATTCGAGAAGGTCCACCGGGCTATGCTCCCTATTGTGAGGATAGACTTAAAAGAACATTTAATAACGGCACCAGAAATCAACCTCCATCTTGGCTTGAACTTCAAGCTACTAAATCTAAAAAACCAATAATGCTTCCCATAACATTTATGGATGGAAATACGAAAACACTTCTTGCTGATAGTGCGACAACAGCACGAGAATTATGCAATCAATTATCTGATAAAATTCAATTGAAAGATCAATTCGGATTTTCTTTATATATAGCATTATTTGATAAGGTATCTTCATTAGGTAGCGCTGGAGATCATATTATGGATGCAATTTCACAATGCGAGCAATATGCAAAAGAACAAGGTGCTCAAGAACGTAACGCTCCGTGGAGATTGTTCTTCCGTAAAGAAATTTTTGCGCCTTGGCATGATCCAACGGAAGATCAAGTAGCAACAAACTTAATATATCAGCAAGTTGTAAGAGGTGTAAAATTCGGTGAATATAGATGTGATAAAGAAGAAGATTTGGCAATGATTGCTGCTCAACAATACTATATTGAATATAATACAGATATGTCAATGGAACGGCTTTTTTCGTTAATTCCAAACTTTATTCCTGACTATTGTCTCACAGGAATTGAAAAGGCTGTTGAAAGATGGGTTCAATTAATTCTTCAAGCGTATAAGAAAAGTTATTATTTGAAAGATAAAGATAAAGTTGCATCCTTAAGAGTCAAAGAAGATGTTGTTAGCTATGCAAAATATAAATGGCCCTTACTGTTTTCACGATTTTATGAAGCTTATCGAAACAGTGGACCAAATCTTCCAAAAAATGATGTCATAATAGCTGTAAATTGGACTGGCGTTTATGTTGTAGATGATCAAGAACAAGTACTTTTAGAATTATCATTCCCAGAAATAACAACAGTATCAAGTCAAAAAACCAATAAGGTCTTCACACAAACATTTAGTCTAGCTACAGTTAGAGGAGAAGAATTTACATTCCAAAGTCCAAATGCTGAAGATATTCGAGACTTGGTTGTTTTCTTCTTAGAAGGATTGAAGAAGCGTTCAAAATTTGTAATAGCATTGCAGGATTATCGATCACCAGGTGAAGGAACAAGCTTTCTTTCATTCTTAAAAGGTGATTTAATCTTGTTAGAGGAAGATAGTACTGGCGAAACTGTGTTAAATAACGGATGGTGTATAGGAAGATGTGAAAGAACACAAGAGCGTGGAGATTTTCCAGCAGAAACAGTTTATGTTCTACCAACACTCACAAAACCTCCTACAGATATTCTTGCACTCTTCAGTATCGAAGGAATAACGCACGGTCGTCGATTAAGTGCTACATACTCAAATGGTGGAACTGAACCCCGTGAAAAACCTCATAATTTATCAGAATATGCAATTGATCATTTTCGTCCACCGCCCAAACGAACTATGTCTAAAACACTAACATTAAGCTCGAAACGCAGTGGAGAAGAATTATGGAAATATTCACGAGACCCTTTAAAGCAGCCTTTATTAAAGAAATTATTAGCAAAAGAAGAACTGTCTGAAGAAGCCTGTTTCGCCTTTACTGCCATAATGAAATATATGGGAGATTTGCCATCAAAACGACCTCGAATTGGAAATGAAATAACTGATCACATTTTCGATGGTCCTTTAAAGCACGAAATCTTGAGAGATGAAATTTACTGTCAAATTATGAGGCAGTTAACAGACAATAGAAATAGAATATCAGAAGAACGAGGGTGGGAATTGATGTGGCTAGCAACTGGCTTATTTGTCTGCAGTCAAGGTTTATTGAAAGAACTTATGGTATTCTTAAGAACACGAAGACATCCCATTTCTCAGGACTCACTTCATAGATTGCAAAAAACATTAAGAAATGGCCAACGAAAGTATCCACCGCATCAAGTTGAAGTTGAAGCTATCCAACACAAAACTACACAAATCTTCCATAAAGTCTATTTCCCCGATGACACAGATGAAGCTTTTGAAGTGGATTCTTCAACTCGAGCAAAAGACTTTTGTCAAAATATATCTCAGCGTCTTAATTTGAGATCAAGTGAAGGTTTCAGTCTATTTGTAAAAATTGCTGATAAGGTAGACTTTTATCTATTATATATTAGTTAACAATAATTGTTACTCAACATTTTCGATTACAGGTGATTTCGGTTCCAGAAGGAGATTTCTTCTTTGATTTTGTCCGACATTTGACTGATTGGATTAAGAAAGCAAGACCTTCGCGTGATGGAGCAACACCTCAATTTACGTACCAAGTATTTTTCATGAAAAAGTTATGGACAAATACTGTTCCTGGAAAAGACAAAAATGCAGATTTAATCTTCCATTATCACCAGGAGCTTCCAAAACTTTTGAGAGGATACCATAAATGTACGAAAGAAGAAGCTGCAAAACTTGGGGCTTTAGTGTATCGAGTTCGTTATGGAGATAGTAAGCAAGAATTGCAAGCCATACCGTGAGTAGCATAATCATTTTCTAGAGACTTTTCTTTAAATTTTTTTTTATTTTTGTAGCCAAATGCTTCGAGAGTTGGTGCCTTCAGATTTGATAAAACTTCAAGGATCGAATGAATGGAAAAGAGCCATTGTTTCTGCATATAATCAAGATGGAGGAATGACTCCTGAAGATTCGAAGGTTACTTTTTTGAAAATCGTTTATCGTTGGGCCACTTTTGGATCAGCATTCTTTGAAGTGAAGCAAACTACTGAGCCTAACTACCCTGAAATGCTTTTAATAGCAATTAATAAGCATGGTGTTAGCCTTATACATCCTCAAACAAAGGTATTACTTATTATATGCATTATTAACAGTTTTAAGACTTATTTTCTAATTTAAGGATATTTTGGTGACACATCCATTCACAAGAATAAGTAACTGGTCTTCTGGCAATACGTACTTTCACATGACAATAGGAAATCTAGTTCGTGGTTCAAAACTTTTATGTGAAACATCATTAGGATATAAAATGGATGACTTACTGACATCCTATATTTCACTTATGCTGACAAATATGAATAAACAAAGATCCATTAGAGTAAAATAATTAATACAATCTAATTTAGGTAATAAAGTATTGACTACGATCATTAACACATTTTCATGAATTAAATAACATGGCAAGTTTATAGTGTATTTGAATATTTATTGCATGATAATCAGAGAGGGAATCAGAGAACTGTTTGTTTAATAATTTAATTAACTTTTTGTGTTTTTTCTGCGTTCGCACGTTCTGTCTGAAAATTGTTGAGACAATATGAAATGTAAAGAATAAAGATTTATAAATGAACAAATTTAAAGACCTGGATTTTTGATTCTAGATTTTCAGAGGGGATGACGAGAGGGACTGACCAATTTATGGTTTGTATTTAATCCTTTCCGTTTTTATGGAAATATTAACTATTCCAGGCATTTCAAGTAGCATTCACTAAGATTGTAATTTTTTGCAATTTTTCGGGTGTAACGTATTTTTAAATTTTGAACACAGTGTAATTCAACATAAAATTGAGTGAGTAACCTCATCAAAACAAAAATAAAATGTTATCGTTAAGAAATATTAATTCAAGTAGATTTATAGCTCGAAGAATCCTTAATAATTTTGAACAGCTTCATAGAAACAAGACAACAACGCCTATAAATCTGGGAGTGCTATTTGTGCCACAACAAGTAAGAAATAAACAAAATATTAAAGTTTCATAATAAATAAACAATAAAATTAATTAAAAAAGGAAGCATGGGTTGTCGAACGAATGGGAAAGTATTCGCGCATCCTCCAACCTGGTCTGAACTTTCTGATTCCAATAATTGATCAAATTAAATACGTTCAAAGTCTGAAGGAAATTGCAATTGGTAAAAAGTACATTACAATTTAATGATCCAGATTTCATCATAATATTTTTGTATAAACTTTCAGAGGTTCCTCAGCAAAGTGCTATCACAGCGGATAACGTTACGTTAAATATTGATGGTGTTTTATATCTTAAAGTTATGAATCCTTATGATGCTTCATATGGTGTAGAAGATGCTGAATTTGCTATCACTCAATTAGCACAAACTACGATGCGTTCTGAACTTGGAAAGATAAGTTTAGATAAAGTATTTCAAGAACGTGAATGCCTTAATGTTAGCATAGTTGAAGCTATTAATAAAGCATCAGAAAGTTGGGGAATTCAGTGCTTACGTTATGAAATTCGTGAAATAAAAATGCCACAAAGAATCCATGAAGCTATGCAAATGCAAGTTGAAGCAGAACGACGTAAAAGAGCTGTTGTATTAGAATCTGAAGGTATCCGAGAAGCTGATATCAATGTTGCAGAAGGTAAGAGGCAATCAAAAATATTAGCTTCTGAAGCAGAAAGGCAAGAATCCATCAATATTGCTGAAGGTCAAGCGAAAGCTCTTCTAACAATAGCGATGGCAAGATCACAGGGTTTAAAGCATGTAGGGGAACAACTGAAGAATCAATCTGGAAATCATGCTGCATCTTTACTCGTAGCTGAAAATTACATTCAAGCATTTGGAAACCTCGCAAAAACTGGAAACACTCTTATTCTTAGTGCTAATGCCGCAGATGTCAGTTCAATAGTCTCACAAGCTATGGCTACTTATAAAACCATTAATGATAAACAAAATAAAGCAAACTTTATTCCCGAATCGCCAGCTACAACTTCCGAAATTATCAATAATCCAGTTGATAACTTTTCAAATATTATTGAGTCGAAAATAACTGATGTAAAGGATTTAGGAATCGATCATGATGATCCTACTAATTTAGACAAGAAATAAATTTTAATAGACGTAATGAAAAAAGTTTGATCAGGAATTTAACATTTACAAGCATTCTTTTATTAAAGTTGTTCTAAATTTCAGTATAAAATGAATCTCGCTGTATGTTTAAATGGCTGTAAATCTGATGAACCAAGAATAGCGTACAGAATCCTAAGAATGAGTATGTAAGAAAATTCGTTGTCAAGTCTATAAAATTCTTTCTATTGTTATCCACAGAATTTGGCATTTCTTTGAGTTTCTTCTTGTCTTCACCATAATAAGCACATAATGCTGAATAAGTGACCAATTTGCCTATAAATTCACTACCCGCAGCAATCGCAAGTCCAATTACTGCTCTCAAAATAATACTGAAAATATTGTTGAATTCAACTGACAACGGCAGGATTACTTGACTATCATCGAGGTATCCCATTTGATAATTTAGCCAATGTCCTAATTCTATGCCTACAAAAACTCCAGCTATTGATATTGTGTCACCTCTAAAATGTTTTCAAAATCATCAATACAGTAAATTTAATTTTATGCTGGATTTTTAACTTACTTTGTCCGAGTAAAGACTCTTGTTGATGGAATTGGGAAATACACCACTGCAGTAACCGTAACTGCTAGCAGAATAATTGGTGAGAACATATTTGTTGCTAAAAACATCTCAATAGTATTAGTAATGGGTAAAATAACTGTTAAAAGTACAGCAGATAAGAAGAATCCAAGCACTAAGTCTAAAACAGAATGCATCCCCAAATATACTCTACTCCATGAAACTATAGATATCCATATCACAGTTAAAACAGCACAGACTGCTAAATTGACATCATATCTTTCTAGAGCATAGTAAACGATAGTTACAGCAATTGATGGTGAGGACATAGCATGGGTTGAAGGGAGCGAATATTCATTGGAAAATTTCTTTTGCATTTTTATTGCTGGTGACTTTGGACGATCTTCTAAGAAGAATTCTTTTAAAGCTTGTCCAACATACATGTTTATGAACCAATTAAACACAAATCGTCGACCGATGAACCCATCCAGATTGAAGAAACATAGAGGAATAAAAATTCCATAAAAAAGTTCATCGCCTATAGAATTGATAAGAATGAATTAATTTGTGTGATAAAACTTTTTCGCTGGGATTAATAAATTAAGTCACCTAATTCTGTTCCTATTATGAATAAATAATAAAAAAATTTGTTCTTTATTACAATTTTGTCATCCTTTACTCTTTCTAATCCAAAGAAATTTTGTACTTTATACACTAATTCTGGACTATTTAGGTAGTTCCAAATCTTTGACATCTTGATGATTTAACTGATAACATTAAACTAAAATATTTTCTGTCTTTCTGTAAATTTATCAGATCTTTACATGTATGTACTTTCAAGCATAAATGATTTGTTGATATTTCAAAGTACACTTTCTTTTGCATGTGAAGCCACTATAAAGATTATTTTAAAATTTCAACAAGATCGTTAAGAATTTCTAATGTTTGACTTCCGAAACTTTAATTTTTCTTTCTTCAAATATCACATGCTACTTTATTAAGGTACAAGAAAAATTATAATCAATAAAGTCAACTGATTTTTTCTCAGGATGAACCTTTTCTTCGTGACATTTAAGTTTTGGTTTATCAAAAAAGGTCTGATCACACCCATTGCATTCATAAGAGATTCTAGTTGTTGTATGTGTTTGTAAATGAACATGTTTCTGCGAATATCTTTTGCTGCAAATTGGACATCTAGAAAAATGCTTATGATATAAGCAATGATTTAAATCTCCATCTTATATTCAACTTACTTAAAAGGTTCCTCGTTAGTATGCTGACGAGTATGGATCAATAAATCCTGCTTTTGAACAAATCTTTTATTGCAATAGCTACATATAAATTCCTTTTGTCCTGAATGTAATTTCTTATGATATAAAAATGGTGCAATAAACTTATAACTCTGTCCGCAGATTTAACAGACGTAAAAAGTTTTGTGCTGCACATGTTTTCTCATATGAATCTGTAAATTAAATGACAATTGAAAGCCATTCTATCTTAATCATAATAACAGTTACTTACATTCAGTTGTATCTTATTAAAAAGTCGATGTCCACATAAATCACAAATAAATCTCTTCAATCTTAATTCAATTTTTTTGTGACTTTCGACATGCTGATTTAATATTTCTAAAGCAGAAAATGGATCACCACAAGTGATGCATATAAAAATTCCAGCATGAAGGTTAATGTGATTTTTGAAATTCTCATAAAGTTGAAAATCCATTTTACAATATCCACAAGTTCTCTTCAATTTATTTCCATTTAGATGCACTTGGGTAAAGTGCTTTTCTTTTTGATACTTGTTATTAAGATGCTCATGACAAATCTTGCATCTGTAATCTTTTGGTGCTTTTTGTTTAATGTTTTCGTGAACACCTTTACGATGTCTTGAAAGTGCACTGGATGTGACGAAGTCCTTATTGCATTGATGGCAACCAAATCTCTTAATTTCAAATGGGTTCTCATTATGAAAGCGATTGAAATGATTCTTAAGGTCATATTTGGTTCCGAATGTTTTTTTACAATCTTCACATTCGTGTAATTTTTGATGTAAATGCACAACATTTAAATGTCTATCTTTTGCTGATTTGAAGCTAAATAATTTTTGGCAAATTTCACATTCATGCTTGCTATTACTATGAATGGCTTGCAAATGAATGTCTAGATTCCTTTCATTTATAAATGTTTTGTTACAAAAGTTGCATGTCCGATTTTCTATTGTCAGATTTCGATGATGTCCTTCAACATGCTGATCCAACTCAAACTTTGTTCCAAACTGCCGTTGACATTCATTGCATATATGATTCCTTTCATTTAAATGTTTTCTTTTGTAATGTCGATCTAAAGCTGATTTATAATTAAAATTTCTTTTGCAGTCTTTACACTCAAACTTAATGCTTGTGTGATTAGCTTGGTGATGAATTTTGAGGAGCTTAACTTTTCCAAACATTTTGTTACAGAATGTACAATGGAAGCCATTTAAAGTGTCATGAGTTTCGTTGAAATGTTCTTGCATTTCGACCTTTGAATCATATTTATTGTCACATCCAAAACAAGCTATCAGTTCTCGTTGAGAATTTACTGTTAAATGTTTAAATTGAATGTGTTGCTGGACTTCATGTTTGGTAAAAAATTTCTCATCACATTTATCACAAGTTATTGAAAAATCTTTTTGGTATTGTATCCGTAAATCAACTCCCATGCTGTCAAATCTCATCAAATCATTTTTAAAGATGTTTTCGTGATTGACAAAGTTTCTTGCTCTTTCTTCTAATTGATCAAACTGGATGTCTTCTTTAGTTTTAATTTCAAGATCCAATTCATCAACATAAACCTTTTCTATTCCAAAATACTCAAATTCTTCTTTGATATTCTTATTAGAACTAATAATTTTTGTATGAAGCTTTACATGCCGTTCTATTTGAAACTTTTCAGCAAATCCCTTACTACAATAATCACAGAAATATGAACGGAATGTTGAATGTTTTGTTTTAAAATGAATTTCAAGATCTCGAAGATTTTTAAATCGTTTAAAGCAACTCTGACAAATATGTTTTAAATTGCTGTGCTTTTCTTCATAGTGCTGCCTAATATTTTTAAAATTCTTCCTACATTTTGGACAATATGTTATTTCTTTAATTAATGAATGGACTCTTTTATGCTTCTTTAATTGAGCTTTCTCTCCAAAATCTTTCATACAAAGCTCACATTTAAAATTCCTTTGTTGCTCATGAACTGTCAATACATGCCGGTCCAAACCTGATTTTTTACCAAACTTTTTATCACAGAACTTACAGGCATAGCTTCTAAGATTCCTGAAAATTAATGGATAATAGAATTTGTTACATCTTTTAGAAATCAGCGATGGTTTATGACCCTACATGTGTACAATCCGGTTGTGACTTGATAAACAAATGAAGCTTTTCCTGCAGATATGACATTCTTTTGGTTCCTTAGATTCTGTTCTGTGGATTCGAATATGTGTATTAAACTTGCTTCTAATTTGAAAGAGCATTCCACATTCTTCACATTTGAAGGGATCTCTTCCTTTGTCATGCATGCGTTGATGTTGAGCTAAATCAGCAGCTGTATTGTAAGCTCTTGGGCATTCGTTACATAAAAATGATCTAGCATTAATGTGATGGGCCATATGATATTGCAAGTTGTAGAGACCTGAAATAAATATTGAACAATTATTTAAATATCCAGATATACCAAGAGTTGTCGGCATACTCGTGAAGGTTTTTTTGCACAGCTCGCATAAAAAATCCTTTTTGATCTTTTCTTTATGTCCAAATTTCTTATGTCTCTCATATTTATTTGAATCTACTAATATTCCACAAACATCACATACAATCTGTTCGCCCATGATTTTTGGCAGCATAATCACGAGCAAAATATTTACATAATTGCAACGAATGAATATGCTATTTACAGCTATTAAGTACACACTTTTTATTCATGAATTGAAATTAAAAGTTTCGTATTTTTTGAAATTTAAATGTTTCTTGTAATGAACAACAAAAAGTCCTTGCTGCAAATTATGAATGCTTGTGTAAATTATGCTTCTTTAAATTATGTTCGTATTTAAAGGATAAGTCGCAAATGTAGCAAAAATGCGGGCGTATTTCAGGATGAATTTGAATTTCATGATTTGCTAACTGTACTTTATTCACAAATACTTGATGACATTCCCGACATTTGAATGCATTTGTTTCAGGATGAGTTTGTTTGTGAAATTTCAACAAGGTTTTGGATGCAAATCCTCGACTGCAAATTTCACATCTGCACGAGAAAAAGGAAATTATTATAAATATTTTATGGATGGTTTAGAATTGTGCATATCTTACTTAAATGGTTTCTCATTTGTATGACTGCGAATGTGCTGAATAAGATCAGAATTTCTGGCGAATTTCTTTCCACAATAAGTGCATGCAAATCTTCCTTCTTGATGATAAATGCGATGAGTATAAAGCGATGATTCAAACTTGAATCCTTTGCCACAATAATCACAGTAGTGAAGGTTATAGTTTTTAGTATGCTTCCTTAAATGGACCTAAAATAGAATAGGCAAGAAATATTATTTTTATTTAATTAAATCAAAAATCGATTTTGTACCTTCATCAGTAGTTTTGTTAACAACCGTTCACCACAATGATCACAGACGTAATTTCTGTATTTTATGTCTACTTTTTTATGCGAATCTTTGTGGGACTTAAGAGAGTGTTCATCATAATAAAATTTATCACAGATCATGCAGATAAAATATCCAACATGTGACTCAATGTGTGCCTTGAAATCCTCGTAAAGATCAAACTCTTGTTTACAGTATCCACAAATTCTTTTTAGCTTCTTTCCATTCATATGAACTTGAATTGTATGCACTAAGTCATGGCCTTTTGTTTTAAATGGTTCATAACATATTTTGCATTGACGTTCAGCTCTTTTATATTGTTTGACTTTCTCGTGAACACCTTTTTTGTGAATATAAAGACCGCTGTTTGAAGTAAAGGTTTTATCACATAAATCACATTCATATCTTTTTCGTTCACTTGGATTCTCTGAGTGAACATTTTCGATATGCTTAGTTAAAGAATACTTGACTCCAAACTTTTTCTTACAAAACTGACATTCATGGGATCGTTTCTGTTGATGGACGACTTTTATGTGCGTGTACAGTGTGTTCTTAAAAGTAAATGTCTTGTGACATATTTCACATTCATACTTAATCTTCTTGTGAATTGAATCCATGTGCTTTCGAGCAGTGAATTTATGAGCAAACTGACTACCGCATATATCACAGGTAAACTTGATTCCTTGCTTGTTTCTTAATAGATTTTTAGGAGCATTCTTTACTCTTTGTTCCTTATTAGGTTTTTGATTGCGATTACTGCTTTTATTGTCAGTGTATCTTACAGTTGTATCATCACTTTGATCACATGAATAATTTTGGACAAAATCGAATGAAATACATGTTTCCTTTTTAAATTCTATTTCATCAGATAAAAATGGGTTCATAGATTCATAATCATAGTTAATATCCAGTACTTCTAGCTTAATTTTTAGTTCTGAAGTTGTTGATTGGTGTAAAGCTTGCTCCTGTTTAACTTCGATATAGTTTTCTTCCTCAACTTCTAATTCTGGGCTAAATCTATCATTTATTTCATTCGAACTAAATTCTACATCCTGTTTGATACTTGCTTCTCTCATAAATTGTCTCTTGTGTACTTTCATATGCCGTTCAATTTGGAATTTCTCTGCAAATCCTTTATTACAGTAATCACAGAAATATGAGCGGATTGATGAATGCTTGGTTTTCATATGACTTTCCAGGTCACGTAATCTTTCAAAAACTCTAAAGCAACTGTTACAAGAATGCTTGAGATTACTATGCTTTTCCTCATTATGTTGTTTTATGTCTTCAAAATGACCTTTACATTTAGCACAATATGTGAATAAATGAAGACGTTCATGTTTTTTCAATTGAGCCTTTTCTCCAAAAGCTTTATCACATTGCTCACATTTAAAATTCTTTTGCTTTTTATGTACCGTCAGTACATGCCTATCCAGACCTGATTTCTTCCCAAACTTCTTATCACAGAATTCACAATCGTAGTTCCGCTGATTCCTAGAAGTAAATAAAACTCTTTAGTTTGACTTACAATTGATTTAGGTTTAAGATGCTTACATGTGTACGATTTTGTTGTGCTTCGATAGAGAAATAAAGCTCTTTTCGCATATTGGACACTCTTTTGGTTCGCCTTAAAAAAAACTCCAAACATTAAATCAAGGAACATCAAGCTAATTGAATTAATATTACCTTTTCGTGGTACATAAGGCTGTTTTACTACTGGCTTATGAATCTTCAAGTGACTATTATATTTACTCCTAGCTTCAAATAACATCCCACATTCATCACACTTGAGCGGATCTCTTCCCTTATCATGAGTTCTTTGATGTTGTGCTAGATCTGAAGCTGTATTGTATGCTTTTGGACATTCGTTGCATATAAACAATCTGGCATTAACATGATGTGCTAAATGATACTGTAAATTGTAAGCACCTTAGATGGATATAGAGTAAGTTAATAAAAGACAAGCAGCAAGTAATTAAATTTTGAACATACTTGTAAAGGTTTTATTGCACAAATCGCATTTGTTATCCTTATTTTCCTTGTGTCCATATTTTCTATGTCTCTCATATTTGTTTCTATCTATTAATATGCCACAAACTTCACAAATTACTTGTCCATTCATTTTCGTGTCTTCGTGATTGACTTTTAATTCTACTGAGTTAAATTACGGTTATAAGGCACTTGCTTTTTGTACCTGAGTATTTAAAATCAAAATTCATTAAAACTTAATAAGAAATTTAAATTTTCTGATCTGTTTGTTATTGTTTCTTGTAAGTTTATTATTTATATATGGAACAGATATGACCCTTGAAGCAAATTTCATCTTTTTTAAACATGAATTTCCAATAAGACATCCTTGATCAATTAATTTTATTTAATAAACTCAATTAATACAATAATTTTACCATATTCAAATTTACTAAGTTCTCTTGCATATATTGTGCATTCTAATTTGTACGTCCTTAAATCTAAAGAACTTAATTTTATAAATACGATGAGTGTGTTGAGACCAGTAGAGACGTCTAAATTCCCTTCAAAAATATCTCACAATGTTTAACATGTCTCAGTGTAAGCAACTGAAAGAACAAAATTAATAAATCTATTTAGATCGAGCTCGGATTAACTTACAGTAATTGCAGGCTTGGAGAATGTGCAATTCTATTTGGAATTTCTTTGGGAATCCGTTACCACAATAATCACAAAAATATGAGCGCATTGTTGAATGTTCAGTTTTGAAATGACTTTCCAGGTCTTGTAATATTTCAAACATTTCATAGCAAATGTCACAATAATGCTTGAAATTGCTATGCTTATCCTTGTTATGCAGTTTTATGTCATCAAAATGAAATTTACACTTTGAACAGAATGCAGATAAATGCAGTTGCTGATGCTTTTGTAATTGAGCCTTTTCACCGTAAGCTTTTCCACATTCCTCACATTTGTAATTTTTTTCCTTTTTATGTACAGTTATTATATGTCTATCCAAGCCCGATTTCTTTCCAAATTTTTTGTCACATAAAAAGCAATTGAAGTTCCTTTGTTTCCTAAAGATTAAAGTAATTGATTATTTGAATCATAATTGATTAATTCTTACGATGCTTACTCGTGAACGGTTAAATAGTGTTTTGATATAGACATAAATGTCTTTTGACATATTGGACACTCTTTTGGTGCCGCTAAAAAGAAAGGTGTCTAAAATTCAAGGACAAAATAAGCTTAGCAATATATTTTACCTTTCCGAGGTACATAAGGTTTCTTTACAGCCGTTTTATGAATCTTCATGTGTGCGTTGAATTTACTTCTTGTTTCAAATAACATCGCACATTCTTCACAATAAAATTCTCTTCCTCTATCATGAGTTCTTTGATGCTGTGCTAAATCAGAAGCAGTATTGTAAGCACTTGAGCATTCGTTGCATTTAAAAGATCTTGCATTAATGTGATGTGCCATATGATACTTTAAATTGTAAGAACCTAAGATGGATATAGAGTAAGTTAATAAAAGACAAGCAGCAATTGAATTTTTAAGAGATTTAAACGTACTTGTAAAGATTTTATTGCACACATTGCAAATGTGATCCTGTTTCTGCTTATGACCATAGAGTTTATGTCTCTCATATTTGTTTCTGTCTACTGATAAACCACAAACTTCACATACTACTTGTATATTCATATTTTGAGATATTTGATCCATTTTTCTCTTATGTGAGGCAAATGTATCCAGCCACTAAGTGCTCTTTACTAGCTTCTTATTAAAACTCTTATTCAAACTTTATATCCTTTGAATTTTAAGAGGAATTCCAAGATTTTTAAGCGTTTATTATTGTTTTTTACGAGTAAAATTATAAAACAGAAATTATCCCTTGAAGCAAATTTCGTCTTTGTCCTGAGAAAACAAAGCAAAATTGGTTATAAAAGGTCACAGAAGAAAAGTTTGTGCCTGAAATTTTACATCATTTTCAAAAAACAGATTTCAAATTGGTTGTGGCATTGCTGAGAAAATCGCAAAATACGCTTTCTGTAAGCAAACAAGCAAGCAAGTTAATCAGCAAGAAAACTCAATAATGAGACATTGTAGAGACTTCTAGTTTTTTACATTTGATCCGTGCTGCTTTATAGAAGAGCTGTATTGTTTTTGGGCAAGGTAGGAACAGCCGTTGCTTCAGAAAAAGCAAAAAACTTTGCTTTCTCACGAATTTTTCAAATTAAAAGTTCACTGTGTTTTTTTTTTTATTTTAAATTAAACTTTGGATGAAAAAAATTTTTTTGAGCAAAGAACCAAGGAGAAATACATTTTCAATTTTGGACTAGGGGCGACCCTAATCAAAATCAATTTCGTCACTTTTTTCTTCGACGGTTTATCCAAATGGATTGAAACTTTGTATAAATGTTCTAGTGCTTAAAACAAATACAAATAAAACATCCTAAAATTTTTTTGATCAAAGAACCAAATAGGAAATACATTTTCAATTATGAACTTGGGACAGGTCTAGTCAAAATCTAGTTTTTCACTTTTTTTCGAAGATTTATCCAATTACAGTGAAACTTTGAGTGAGTTTACTAATATTTATACAAAACAGTTTTGAATATCTAAAGCAAGAAATGTATTCTTTATATCGTCAGATCCAAATTTTATAAATTTGGTTGTACATTTAAAAACAACGTGACTTAAAATTTTGTCCAAAAAAATGTTTTTATTAATTCAGAAATGTGTGACCTGAAGATTAGAATGCTCATACAAAGTTTTACTGTATATGGATTTATCCTCGAAGAAAAAAGTGAAAAACTAGATTTTGACTGGACCTGTCCCAAGTTCATAATTGAAAATGTATTTCCTTCTTGGTTCTTTGCTCAAAAAAATTTTAGGATGTTTTATTTGTATTTATTTTAAGCACTTAAATATTTATGCAAAGTTTCAATCCATTTGGATAAACCCTCGAAGAAAAAAGCGACAAAATTGATTTTGACTAGGGTCGCCCCTAGTCCAAAATTGAAAATGTATTTCCTACTTGGTTCTCTGCTCAAAAAAATTTTAGGATATTTTATTTGTAATTGTTTTAAGCACTGAAATATTTCTGAAAAGTTTCAATCCATTTGAATAAACCCTCGAAGAAAAAAGTGACAAAATTGATTTTAACTAGGGTCGCCCCTAGTCCAAAATTGAAAATGTATTTCCTACTTGGGGTTCGTTCACTTATTACGTAACGCACTAGGGGGGGAGGGGGGGTCTAAGATTTTGTTACGGTTTGTTACAGGGGGAGGGGGGGGGTCTAAATTTTGTTACGTAACTTTTCAAAAATTATATTTTTTTATAATTTTTTCTATATTAATTTTAAATTTTTTTAACGTTAAATTTTAACTTAAGAACTTTTTAGTTATAAGTAAAACTGTTTATTTTTCATCGATAAAATGATAAAAGTGAGTTAATAAAAGAACAATTCCATGAATGAAGGGAACTTTAATTTTTAAGCACAAAATTTTCGTTATGATTTATATTTTTTTTGTCTAAATAAACATATTTCACTGCTACTAGAAGGAGTTATTTTTCAGCAATTAATGTTTTTTCAAAGCTAACCATCAAGAAAATAGCTTGGTTATGTTAATGCTGATCTTGGAAAAAATTCTTAGCACTTTTTTCGTAATGATAACATATTAACAACAAAAAAGTTAAAATATTTTTAATTAGACATGTTTAAATCAGTTGATTATCATCAGAAACGATGAATAATTGATTTTTTAAGATGTATAAGCAATAAGATCAAAGAAAATTTCAAGATTTAGAGAATTATCAAAAAAAAATTTAATTTTCAAAGCGCTTTTTTTACTCATGGAATTACTCTTATTAGAATTATGTTTTGAAATCTCAAAATATTTTGTTTGGATCAATGTGATGTAAATTAAGAAAAAGCTAAAATATTTAATAAAAGTTTTGTAAACAATTTTGATGCAAAAATAATTTAAAAAAACAACGATTTCTCAAAATTTGAAAATTACAAAAAGCAAATCCAAAAGGAAGTATAATAAACATTTGATAAACAATTTAAATGAAAAAAATTATTGTTACGTTATGGGGGGGGGGAGGGGGGGTCTAAGATTTTGTTACGCTTTGTTACAGGGGGGGGGGGAGGGGGGGTCTAAAAACTCGTTTTTGCGTTACGTAATAAGTGAACGAGCCCTTGGTTCTCTGCTCAAAAAAATTTTAGGATATTTTATTTGTATTTGTTTTAAGCACTGAAATATTTCTGAAAAGTTTCAATCCATTTGAATAAACCCTCGAAGAAAAAAGTGACAAAATTGATTTTAACTAGGGTCGCCCCTAGTCCAAAATTGAAAATGTATTTCCTACTTAGTTCTTTGCTCAAAAAAATTTAAGGATGTTTTATTTGTATTTGTTTTAAGCACTAAAATATTTCTGAAAAGTTTCAATCCATTTGAATAAACCCTCGAAGAAAAAAGTGACAAAATTGAATTTGACTAGGGTCGCCCCTAGTCCAAAATTGAAAATGTATTTCCTACTTGGATCTCTGCTCAAAAAAATTTTAAGATGTTTTATTTGTATTTGTTTTAAGCACTTAAATATTTATGCAAAGTTTCAATCCATTTGGATAAACCCTCGAAGAAAAAAGTGACAAAATTGATTTTGACTAGGGTCGCCCCTAGTCCAAAATTGAACATGTATTTCCTTCTTGGTTCTTTGCTCAAAAAAAATTTTAAGATGTTTTATTTGTATTTGTTTTAAGCACTAGAATATTTATGCAAAGTTTCAATCCATTTGGATAAACCCTCGTAGAAAAAAGTGACAAAATTGATTTTGACTAGGGTCGTCCCTAGTCCAAAATTGAAAATGTATTTCCTACTTGGTTCTTTGCTCAAAAAAATTTTAGGATGTTTTATTTGTATTTGTTTTAAGCACTTAAATATTTATGCAAAGTTTCAATCGATTTTTATAAACCCTCGAAGAAAAAAGTGACAAAATTGATTTTGACTAGGGTCGCCCCTAGTCCAAAATTGAACATGTATTTCCTTCTTGGTTCTTTGCTCAAAAAAAATTTTAAGATGTTTTATTTGTATTTGTTTTAAGCTAGGGTCGCCCCTAGTCCAAAATTGAAAATGTATTTCCTACTTGGTTCTCTGCTCAAAAAAATTTTAGGATATTTTATTTGTAATTGTTTTAAGCACTGAAATATTTCTGAAAAGTTTCAATCCATTTGAATAAACCCTCGAAGAAAAAAGTGACAAAATTGATTTTAACTAGGGTCGCCCCTAGTCCAAAATTGAAAATGTATTTCCTACTTGGTTCTTTGCTCAAAAAAATTTTAAGGTGTTTTATTTGTATTTGTTTTAAGCACAAAAATATTTATGCAAAGTTTCAATCCATTTGGATAAACCCTCGAAGAAAAAAGCGACAAAATTGATTTTGACTAGGGTCGCCCCTAGTCCAAAATTGAAAATGTATTTCCTACTTGGTTCTCTGCTCAAAAAAATTTTAGGATATTTTATTTGTATTTGTTTTAAGCACTGAAATATTTCTGAAAAGTTTCAATCCATTTGAATAAACCCTCGAAGAAAAAAGTGACAAAATTGATTTTAACTAGGGTCGCCCCTAGTCCAAAATTGAAAATGTATTTCCTACTTAGTTCTTTGCTCAAAAAAATTTAAGGATGTTTTATTTGTATTTGTTTTAAGCACTAAAATATTTCTGAAAAGTTTCAATCCATTTGAATAAACCCTCGAAGAAAAAAGTGACAAAATTGAATTTGATTTCCAAAATTGAAAATGTATTTCCTACTTGGATCTCTGCTCAAAAAAATTTTAAGATGTTTTATTTGTATTTGTTTTAAGCACTTAAATATTTATGCAAAGTTTCAATCCATTTGGATAAACCCTCGAAGAAAAAAGTGACAAAATTGATTTTGACTAGGGTCGCCCCTAGTCCAAAATTGAAAATGTATTTCCTACTTAGTTCTTTGCTCAAAAAAATTTAAGGATGTTTTATTTGTATTTGTTTTAAGCACTAAAATATTTCTGAAAAGTTTCAATCCATTTGAATAAACCCTCGAAGAAAAAAGTGACAAAATTGAATTTGACTAGGGTCGCCCCTAGTCCAAAATTGAAAATGTATTTCTTACTTGGATCTCTGCTCAAAAAAATTTTAAGATGTTTTATTTGTATTTGTTTTAAGCACTTAAATATTTATGCAAAGTTTCAATCCATTTGGATAAACCCTCGAAGAAAAAAGTGACAAAATTGATTTTGACTAGGGTCGCCCCTAGTCCAAAATTGAAAATGTATTTCCTACTTGGATCTCTGCTCAAAAAAATTTTAAGATGTTTTATTTGTATTTGTTTTAAGCACTTAAATATTTATGCAAAGTTTCAATCCATTTGAATAAACCCTCGAAGAAAAAAGTGACAAAATTGATTTTGACTAGGGTCGCCCCTAGTCCAAAATTGAAAATGTATTTCCTACTTAGTTCTTTGCTCAAAAAAATTTAAGGATGTTTTATTTGTATTTGTTTTAAGCACTTAAATATTTATGCAAAGTTTCAATCCATTTGAATAAACCCTCGAAGAAAAAAGTGACAAAATTGATTTTGACTAGGGTCGCCCCTAGTCCAAAATTGAAAATGTATTTCCTACTTAGTTCTTTGCTCAAAAAAATTTAAGGATGTTTTATTTGTATTTGTTTTTAGCACTGAAATATCTTTGCAAAGTTTCAATCCATTTGGATAAACCCTCGAAGAAAAAAGCGACAAAATTGATTTTGACTAGGGTCGCCCCTAGTCCAAAATTGAAAATGTATTTCCTACTTGGTTCTCTGCTCAAAAAAATTTTAGGATATTTTATTTGTATTTGTTTTAAGCACTGAAATATTTCTGAAAAGTTT